CCGAGAGATGCTGGGGACTCTGAATAGAGACCCGTGGGGACGCCCGTACCTGATGGTACGCGACAAGCTCCGTGCTTGGGCTCCCCCGCTCACTCAGAGTCTCCGGCCAGAAGTCTTGGAGGAGGTGATTGGCGCCCTGTTCCCCCGACTGTGGAGGGGCTTCACCCCTCCGTATATGACTCCGCCCCCTGCGGTGCCCGACGCGGGCTACAGCGACGACGACGATGACATCGTCCCAGAGGTGACCGAGGCAGAATTGAGAGCGGCGGTGCGCCGGATGGGCGCCAAGAACACCGCCCCAGGACCCGACGGCCTGCATGGCAAGGCATGGGTCCTGGCCTCAGAGGCTCTCGGGCCTCGATTGATTGGTCTCTACAGCGCATGTCTGGAGAGAGGCCAGTTCCCGCTTCTCTGGAAAGCGGGCAAACTGGTCCTCGTGCGGAAGACGGGGCGCCCTGCGGACTCTCCGTCCGCGTACCGGCCCATAGTGCTGCTCGACGAGGTGGGGAAAGTCTTCGAAAGAATCATTTCGAACCGCCTCGTCGCGCACCTGACGGACATTGGGCCGGACTTGTCGGACGGCCAGTTCGGCTTCCGCAGAGGGCGCTCCACGGTGGACGCCATCATGCGCGTTAGAGACCTCACGACGGGGACTGCAGTGTCCAGGGGTAAGGTCGTAGTGGCGGTGTCTCTGGACATCGCCAACGCCTTCAACTCCCTGCCCTGGAGCTGCATCTTGGAGGCACTCCGATATCATCGGGTGCCTACCTACCTCCGTCGTGTAATCGAGGCTTACCTGACGGACAGGTCCGTCAGCTACCCCGGTCACCGGGGCGAGTGGAACCGGCGAGAGATGTCACGCGGTGTTCCACAGGGTTCGGTTCTGGGGCCGCTCCTGTGGAACATCGGCTATGACTGGGTGCTGCGCACCGACCTCCCGAACGGCGTTAGCACAATATGCTACGCCGACGACACGCTGGTGCTAGCGCACGGGAGGTCGCACCAGGCGGCGGCCGACTTAATGGCGACAGCGGTTGCGACAGTCGTTGAAAGAATCCGGCAGTTGGGACTCGAGGTGGCGCTCCACAAGTCCGAGGCCATGTGCTTTCATGGCCGCGGGAACGCGCCACCTCCGGGTGGGTCCCAAATAACGGCGGGAGGGGTTACCATCGGCGTCGAGACGGCGATGAAGTACCTAGGACTCGTCCTCGACAGTCGGTGGAACTTCATAGAGCATTTCCGACGTTTGGCTCCAAAGTTGGAGAGGACGGGGGCTGCGTTCAAACGCATCCTCCCCAACCTCGGGGGGCCAAACGCCTCCTGCCGGAGGTTATACGCCGGGGTCGTGCGGTCCATGGCCCTCTACGGCGCCCCTGTTTGGGCGCCGAACTTGTTGCGGCGTCCTGCTCGGACGCTGCTCAAGTCACAGAGGGTCATGGCGATCCGAATGATCCGCGGATACCGCACGATCGCTGGGGAGTCGGCGAACCTCCTTGCCGGATTACCGCCGTGGGATCTGGAGGCGAAGGTGCTCGCGCGCGTGTATAACATGCGCGCGGAGGCACGTCGCCGGGGCGAAACTCCGCTGCCGCGCCAGATAAGTGCGTGGCGGGATGAGCTCCGGCGCGATCTCATGGCGGAATGGCAGCAACGACTGTCGCAACCGAGGGCTGGGCTCGCTGCCATTGCAGCGGTAAGTCCCCTCTTTGAGGAGTGGCTTGAGAGACGCTACGGCGTCCTCACCTACCGCCTGACGCAGGTCCTCACCGGACATGGAAGTTTCGGGAGGTACCTGTGTCTGATGGGGCGGGAGGAAACGCCCGGGTGTCATCACTGCGAGGACCGCCCTGAGGACACGGTGGAACACACCGTAGCGGAATGCCCTGCGTGGGCTGAGCACCGCCGTGCCCTCAGGGAAGTGATCGGCGATGGCGACCTCTCGCGTCCGGGCCTAGTGCAGGCCATGATGCGGAGCGAGGGGGACTGGGATGCCGTCTCCTCCGTTTGCGAAGCAGTCATGCTAGCTAAGGAGGAGGCGGGACGCGTGAGGCAGCGAAGCGCTGCCTCCTCGCGACCCAGCCATCGCGAAGGACACACCGGGCGTCGGGGATCGCGGGACGATCTCCGGCCACCGTAAGCGCGGGCCTGCGGACGGCGAGCATGGGTGGCTCCCCGTCCGACCAGAAACAGACCCGAGCGTACGGCGCGTCGCGTTCCGCGCGCGCCTCAAAGAGCCATCAGACCACCACAGATGGGGCCCAATAGGGCCGATGCCGATTCGGAGTCGCGGAGAACCTAACGGGTAACCGGGGCTCCGGCTCGACGTGCAGGAGAAGGAACGGGGTGGTTTTTAGTCAGTAAGAGTCTGACACTCCCTTCCGCCTCACCCAGGCGGGAGCAGTCATTCGATGATTTTCCCCCCTTAAAAAAAAAAAAAAAAAAAGACCCCTTGTTCGGCAGTCGCATTTGCGACCCCTAGGCTCTTACAAAAACGAATACTTTCAACGATACATTGATTTGAAATGTCGCGTGACGTCACTTCTATGTACATTTTATACGTAGAAATGACGTTTTAGCCCCCACTCCTAAACTTTGATTCGTTTTATCTAAGTATTGTTTTATTATACAACAAAATAAAAAATACGTGTGTGATATTTTTTCATCACCTAACTTACGGACTAATTCTACGTGCGATTCAATATGTCTAAGTATCCTTTCGGTTAGACATCATTAGCTATGCGTGTCTGACTATAGTTATAGTTTTTGTCGAACCTATTTGTACCACTTAATGAAAATATATATATGTTATATAAGATAGGTACAATATATTATGCTAATAATATAAATTGACTTTTTATTTAAGTATCGGAAGCAAAAAGGTGTCAGTTAGAAGTCATGTTAGCACTCAAGATTTTACTAGAACATTCTAAGTAGTACTTTTAATATTAATTGATAACTGGCTCAACATGTAATTATTGTTAGCTTGAAACTGCCTTTGTTATGTAATTGTAAAAAATATATTTACATACAAAAACGTCATTATTAAATAACTATTATCATACAATCAACAAGTAAATAATTCCTTTAGTTAAATTATGAAAACAATTATTCTTATCTACTAAAATAATCAAATAAATCTTAAAATTCATGTTAATTTAAATTTTTTATATACTTCTATAGGTTTGTCTATTATAAAGTTATTTTAAACTCAAAAGAACAAATAGATTTTTTGTATGCGTTTAATGTTTTTTCCCATCTGCTATATGACATTAATCAACCACGTGGTTGTGTGAATTAAAATTGTAAAAAAAATAAAAGTGTGATTATCGCAATCAAAAATTCAACAATTCTTGCATTTATTATAACATTAGATAAAATTAAAAATATGATGCAAGTGCAACACTCTGACCAAATCAAACATAGCTCCGTCACTTTCACACGGTTGATAAAGAAATGATGTGGAAAAGAGACAGAATATCAAAATAATTTTGAACAGGTGATTGACCCACTACATTACGAAACAAGTTGATTGCCGTGACCTCTAGCGAAATTAATCATCAATGGCTAAAATGCATCACGAACGAAATTTATTAATAACTTTAACGAAAATATGAATGTATTCAATTTAAACCTGCTAAATGAAATGGAAACAAAAATTATCTAATGTTTTTATGGGTAACCAGGTAAACGAGCGTATGGGTTACCTGATGGTAAGCAATCGGCGCCGCCTATGGACATACATGAAACACCGGAGGCGTTATAAGTGGCGATTCGTGGATTCGGGATATTGGGGATTGGTAATTGGCCTCCGGTAACCACACTCATACGACGAAATACAACGCAAGTGTTTCATAAAAGTAGGGTAAAAAAAGTAAAAGTGGAAATTGGAAGTGAATAGAATTCGAGGGATGTAGTGATACAGAGGAGGAGTGAATAAAATTAATTGTTGAGAAAATATTTTTGACATCTATTCACCTCATTCTTATATCTATTCACCCTTTGAATTCTATTCACCTCGTTTTTCGGTAGTACATAAAGAAGTATGGTATGGTACAATACATTTGCGAACAAGTATATATATGAAATATATTAGTTTATCTTTCATTGTTCTATAAAATCACTGCTTGCCTCTTGCACCTACCATTTACTCTCCCCTGCATCACCCAAAGGTCAGACTGGTAGAAAATGCCTGCGGCATTAAGTCCACCTTATGTACATTTTGTGCATGAAGCATATTAAATAAAAAAATATGGCAAATGATGCATTTATTAGAAGGAAAATTTGGTAATTTAATTTAGAAAAATCAAAGGTGAAGGCGATGAGCGGTATGTAGGTATCCTTTTATGAAATGAGGAAAAAGCAAATTGTAATACAGTTCATGATATCAAATCATTTCGAAATAGACTTAATGGTAGACGTAATATTATTATTATCTTATTTATTGTTACTAAACAAGATTTCGTCAAGCAACTTGCACGTGGTGACGGTAAAGTCACCACAAGTCAAGGTAGAACATGTCTACTTTTTGTTTTGCTTTTGTTTTTTCTTAAAGTTGCACCACTCTAGGATTTCCTTCTGTGTCGTGGGTGCGTTTACAAACATATGCGTTCACCCAGACCCGAAACAACTATTTGCGGATTCCGCAAAGAGTTGCTCCGGTTGCTAAGCCGACAACATTTATTATTATATTAATAATTAATTCAATATTTTATTTATGGGATAAGCCGATAAACGAGTAGACGTATCACCTGATGGTAAGCAATCGGCGTCGCTCATGGACACCTGAACACCGGAGGCGTTATAAGTGCGTTACGGGTCTTTTGGGATTATAAATTTGAGGATTGTTGGGGATTCAGGAATTGGGAAGGGGGGGTGTAAAAAGAGAGGGGGTTGAAGTCAGCAGTCAAATACAGCTCATAAAAGAATTATTTTTGTCTATAATAATCCTGCAGTTATTTTATTAAGATTTGTTCAATTTGCTTATTATTCTTGTTTTCCAGAGGTATGATAGCCTGCCTGGGCATGATGGTTGCCCGGCTGAGCGCGTTTGCAGGCACAAACATACTGAGTGGCGCCATGACCGACCACTGCTCAGTGGCGCTGTACTCCGGAGCTGGTATCGTACTCAGTAAGTATTTCTACTCAATACATTCAATTGTTTTAGGATAAGTAACGTTTATATTACCAGTTGGATACAACTAAGTATTTTGTAACTCAAGTTATGAAGGCTATATTTGATCTTATTCGTTGGTCGGGTGGTAACATTTGCGACTGTTGTATAAAACAAAGGGTCTTAAATGAAAGCTAATAAAATATCCTATTATATTTTCATTCTGTTTTAACCTCTCTGGTTTACGACTCACAGATCTAAGCAAGACACAATGAATATCAAATAGTTTCAGTCGGTTAATAAAGGCTAAAGTAATTACTAGAATTGAATTTTGTTTAGTTAATAAAATAATACGTAACATCACGCCTTTTATGGCGTAGGCACTCAATGCCACTGTATAATGTAACACCTACTTTTCACTTATGTTACGAGTCCCATGTAATAGGGAGTGATCCTATTGCCATATACCGTCACAATTTCAGACTACGTAATACTACTGAAAATGTTTTAAAAAACCCAGTAGTACTTTGCCCGACCGGGGAATCGAACCCGAGATCCCTTGCCTGGCAGTCGCGCTTGCGACCGCTAAGCCAACGAGGCAGTTATTAAAATAATTTGTTAAATTGCAGGTGGTGCTGTAGCAGCTTTGTTCTTGCCTTCAGACAGGTCGATACGTTCGTGATTAAATACCTTAAGTATAACATAAATAGATATTATAAATAAGAGCTTTGTTAATAAATATGATTACTATTACAAATTCTAAATGTTTTTTTATTTATCAACCGTTAGCATTTCGCATCTCATTTCAGCAGCATCTAGATGATGAACTTTTAATAACTTAGTTGCTAACTCCGAGCTACGATCCTCAATAGAATAGGATGCTTATGGGCAGACGTGCTACATCGTAGGCCGCATTATCACTTACCACCAGGCGAGACAGTGGCCAAACGTCGGCCCATCAAATATGTATACATGATTATAATATATATTACCTTCAAACCTTCAAGAAAAGTGCGTATTCCTTTTTAAAAGGCCGGCAACGCACCAGTAACTCCTCTGATGTTGCGGGTGTCCATGGCTGATCGCTTACCATTGGGTGATACTGATACGTCTGTTCGTTTGCCTCCTATTCAAATAAAAAAAATTAAAAGTAAGTAAGGTACTTGTTCATCAGTGGACGTTTTCCAGCATATGATAACAAATCCATTCCATAGTGAACAATTCATCCTTGATTAACCAAACATCACGGGTTACTCACGTGAATATACTGAGAAAAGCTCTACTAGTTTCGAACCAGAACAGTAGGTTGCGCGACATCGCCGCGACCGCGCACGCTGCTCATGAGGAAGAACCCCTCTGAGGTTCGAAACTAGTAGAGCTTTTCTCAGTATATTCACGTGAGTAACCAGCAATTTTTAGTTAATTTAGTATGTCTCACGATAGTTATTACCTCTATAAAAACAATTTATTCATCCTTGATAGTTCTTACAAGTAGTATTTTTATTTTATCAGATTATCTACGTAATCTGACATTTAGGATTTATACAAATGACGTATTGATAAAGTTCAATGTCCCTTCCTACGCAGTATTATAGGGTCAGTACAAAAAATGAATCTCCATAAATATGATCGTTAATGACACTTTATGACTTTCCGAACTCGCTCTTGACCCCGATTTCCCGAATGTGATTAACTTATGATGATTAAACTTTTTCGAACATTCCGTTGTGAAGTCCACATTCTTACTTATGACGACTTTATACATATTTATGACTTCTTAAAACTATAATCTAGACTGAAAACGTGACTGGGGCATAAAGGAGGTTTTACACTGACACTGTTTCGTATCTACTAAAATAATGATTCTATCATACTAAAACAGTAGTAAAATGCACACACGCATACACAAACCAAGCAAGATTTATTGGCGCAGTGGCTGGTGGCCGTGCAACTTGCGCAACGTACGGGTTCGATTCCCGCACGAAGCAACTGTTGTTGTTTCGAGTCTGGGTGTCATGTATATATGAACTTGTATGTTTGTTAACGCACCCACGACACAGGAGAAAATCCTAGTCTAGAGGTAATATATAAAATTCTCGTGTCACAGTTTTCGTTGCCATACTCCTCCGAAACGGCTTGACCGATTTTGATGATTTTTTTGTGGTTATCTATGAGAATCGGCAAACATTTATTTTTCATCCCCCTAAATGTTAGGGGTGTCCACCCCTAAATTTTTTTTATGTTTTAGACAAAATTTTTAATTTCTATTTTTTATGATACAACATACAAAAATACATACCTCTACAATCCTCAATTTTCACCTTTCTACGATCAACCCTTATTTTTTAATAGCCAAGGAAATTATTTATATTGCAAAACAACGTTTGCCGGGTCGGCTAGTGTGGGATAACGTTTAAACACACTCCAGCTTTAAAATAATGAATACAGAACTTTGCAAATGCTACTCCAAACTATAAAACTGAACCTTTCTTTTGTGCTAAAGCTAATCGAAATTCAGACAGAAAAATAACGGCAGGAATTCTCCTATAGGGAAACCCCCGGTTACATTCGAATTTTGACCCAAACCGGTTGTCAAATCCTGGAAATGGCAGTCTAAAATCGGTTGTGGTGAGTAAGTTAATGATTCAAGGAAGCAAATGTTTTATTATTTTTAAATTAATGTAGATTAAACAAACTGACTGCATAGTGGGCGCTGTTGCTACGAAAGGTAGGTATCGCTAGTTCGATTATAGAACTCTTTGCGAGATAAACTTTTCGGATTGTTCCGGGGATGGGTATAATAATGTATTATATATTATATGGTGAACATTTGGTGGAGCTTAGAACCAGGAGACAGACATATCCAAAAATCCTACAGAAATATAAATAATAACATAATATAACATCACGCCTTTTATCCTCGAAGGGGTAGGCAGAGGTGCACATTACGGCACTTAAGGCCACTGAACAATGTAACACCCACTTATCACTATTTATGTTACGAGTTCCATGTAATATGGGGTGAGCCTATTGCCATATACCAGGCACAATTCCAGACTCCGTGCTACCAGATTCGACCCGAGACCCCTTGCCCGGCAGTCGCACTTGCGACCACTCGGCCAACGAGGCAGGCGAATATTATACAAGACATAAATCACGCCGATTATATTCAAGGGCACACTTCTCTTTCCTTTGTTTTTGTTGTGTATTTCCACAATATTGCTGATAAAGTAGGAGTTAAAATTAAATGTATCAATCGTTGATTGATGGTACCACAAATTAATAAACCTCAGGTCTGATCACAGTTATAAAGGTATAAGCAATAAGAGAGCACTGTACATAATGAAACCTCACAGAAAACGGACGTGAAGCAACGCTTGCGCTGTGTTTCGTCGTGTAAGTGAGGTTACCGGAGGCCCAATTACTTTCCCCTTCCCCAATCTCCCCAGTCCCTGAATCCCCAACGATCCTCAAACTCCTAATCCCCAAAAAGCCGGTGACGCACTTGTAACGCCTCTGGTGTTCCATGTGTCCATGGGCGACGCCGATTGCTTACCATCAGGTGATCCGTCTGCTCGTTTACTGGCTTATGCCATAAAAAAAAAGTTGGTGGGTCTCTGTCAATTGTTATGGTTAGGTTATAAATCTGATATTTTTATTGAAATATGTTTATTTCTTATGCAGCTAGTCCGCTATAAAAACAAGATCTTCTAGGAGTCTACAAATGATAGGGAATACAATACATAATTATCCGATACAGTGGGGCAACGTATTTAAAAAAAAAATAATACTCTTGGCTCCATGGCCAACAATGTATGGACGCAGAACAATGTCATTTGTAGTCATCGCGGGATGAGTAGGGAAGCCCACACGATGTATAGTATTATATACGAACCCTTGACGCCTGAGGTTACTAAAAAAATAACAATTTAAATCTTTTTAAAACACATACTTTAACAGCTTACCATTTATGTTCATGTAAACTTAATTCGTATAGAAAATGTCAGCTCAATCGCTTGAAGATATCTGCTTCATTTAGTTGCAAGATTATCTACCAGGCACGATGGTGGCTAAACGTTCAACCTATCAAGTATAATAAAAGAACTTTACACACATGCTTTTTTTAAAGGGGGGAAATAATCCAAAGGTCTCCCGCCTGGGTGATGCGAGAGGGAATGTCAGACTCCTACTGACTAAAAACCACCCCGTTTCTATACCTGTACTTCGAGCCGGAGCCCCGGCAACCCGTTAAGGCCTCCGCGGCTCACATACACACTTAGATACATTGTAGGGTTAATAAAAACTTAAAATAATTGCTTGACCTTGCTATCATAAAACTAAGTGTAATACTTTATACTACCTATAAAACGATTGTAAGGAGATCATCTATTGGTTTCCCGTATAATTATAGTTAATATAGGTATTATAACTAAGTACTATATAAGTCATAAACTTACTATGTATGTAAACAGGGTGCAATAAAGGATGTCTTCCTTGAACTGAGACCTGTACAAAGTCAAAGTACAGACCTTCTACAATTTCATCTAAATGATTTCCACTTCGTAGCAGCGCGATAGTCGCCGCGTCGCGGGTCCTGGAATGCTGGTCATGAATATGAGCTTCTAGCATGGCTTGAAACTAGTCGAGTTCTTCGTCAAATTATTACGCGAGTAAGCCGAAAAACATAATAATTAATTTCCATTAGTTAATTAATTTTATCCGATCATCATTACGTTTACCATTTTTTTTAAATTAGATGGGACAGACGTTTGACCACTATCTCGCCTCGTAAGCGATGATGTAGCCTACGATGGAGCACGGCGACCCATAAGCAACCTATTTACTCGGGCCTTGAAGACACCCAGGTTACACCCTCATATAATATCTTATATTATCATACTAATATTTGTCAACTAACACAATGTATTTTGCAACACTTGGAATTCAAACCATCTGCCAAAACTCATATGCAGACTACTCGACCTTTATGGTAGCGAGGAGATTCTCTATATACTTACATGGACTAAAACAAGATTAGCTTATTAGTATATTTCTCACGAACGATGGCATTGACAACACTTATTAATTTTACACGGTTAGTGCGGTGGCTGAGGCACCGGCTGGCGCACGACATGGGGTTCGATTCCCGCACGGAGCAACTCTTTGTAATTGTTTCAGGTCAAATTGTTGTTCCGGGTCTGGGTGTGATGTTTATGTGAACATATATGTTTGTAATCGCACCCACGACAAGTGGGGAAAATCCTAGTGCAACGTTTAAAAAAATATTCTATTCTTGTTAACCATAAGTTTATAGTTACTAAGAATGTATGGAACTTTTAAATTTTAAAACAATTACTTTTTAATGTAGGTATTTCCAAACGAATATGGGTTTAATCCCATGTGATATGAGACCAAAACAATAACGACAGGTATTTCCAAACACTCAGTACAATTCCGTCCTACTTACTAAGAACTTTGGAACGGAGAAGCCAATTAATCTACCTGCCACCACAATAGGGTAGATGCCTAATTTTTATTTTAATGTACGTCTGATAGATTATTTTAAATCATTAGACAAGTATTTTTTATTTTCTTACAGAAACAAATACTTTCGACGATATATTGATTTGAAATGTCGCGTGACGTCACTTCTATGTACATTTTGTACGTAGAAATGATGTT